TCTAATGGTGATTAGATATCAGCCTTTAGTAAAATGCATATGACTGGGATTTGGCAAATAATTTATAGGTTAGTTGATTATATTTTATAACCCATATTTTTTTTTTTAAGTTTTCTAATGATATTTGCACTTGTTACTATTAATATAAATGATAAAATTAACTTATTTATATTAGGAGTACATCAACATTTAAACAAGCTTGATCTCTTTATCCTTTCTGGTCTTTCTTTCCTGTGCCGCAAACTTTAGTGCAAAAATAAAATACCCTTTGCAAGCGTAAAACTATAGACCGACTTCTCCTTTCCCGTCCTAAAATATTGTTTGTGCCAGTTATGTGTGTGTGTGTGTGTGTGCGTTTGGAAAAAGTTTGGCCAACAACTGAGAACTGAACTACAATTGCAGGCAGAGCGGCCAATCGAAAAGCTAAATCAAAAATGTTTGCCAGCTAGTCCGACTCTAAGCAACTAATTTCAGCTTAACCCAGTTTGGCCGCATTTCCAAAGCAATTACCGTACCCGAGGCTTGATCTCTGATTTATGAGACCGACGACTGGCGCAACAATACAGCATTTTTGTCATTTAATGCAAGTGAAAGATAAATTATTGCAAACAATTCGGGTTGGCGGTGGGTTGTTTGGCCTATTGGGATATTGGTTGGCCTGTCAACGGGGCGGAAATCAGGCAACATCCGCTCCATAAACGGATGTCCGGTTCGTTCGCACGTTCACGCTGGGCTGTGTCAGAGGTCCTGCGACTCGCAGGGGAATAAGCAACTTTAATTTCGGCAACTTTCCGAGCTCCGTTGGGCCTTTTGTACTCTGTTCAATGAAGTGAGAGATGGGCAGGAAATGAAGCAGGCTGCGAAAGGCTTGGCAATTAAAAAAACCATCCAATAAATGGCTATATAAATTCATAAAAAAACCATTAACTGCAGGAACTATATTTTATTAAGATCATATTTTTAATGATTTGTAATCCCAAAATTAGGCAAACAAATATTTATATCTGAAACTCTTGTCTAAGCAGTGATATGAATTTACAAGTTGTAAATGCAATATTTAAATTACATTTTGGAAAAACTGTTTTTTTGATTTTTATAATATGAAAACAGAAACCAAATTCTTACACCATACTTCAAAAATGATTTAAATTCACTTGAGAACTGCGTGGCTTCGCAATTTGAAATAAATAACCAGTTATGCACAGCAACTGATTGCAAGAGGGAGAAAAGGTTTCGAAAAATACAAAAGAGCTATCCAAAAAGGGGTTTCTTTCGAGGGATAAAATATCTCAAGAAAAGTCATTCCTTTGCTTATTTGCACTTAAAGCAGCAAAACCGCTTGTCTGTCACCCTCGCATGTCTAATTCAATTCCATTGCGATTCCTATTAAGCCCAGCATGCTTGAGACGCCCATCGAAGTCACTATTCATTCAGCCAGGATTTCGGTGAGGAAAAACGCCCACTTTCCTTTTTTTTTCACCCGACCAAATGGCAAACAAGCGCGAATCGAGATTGCCGAAAGACGAGACGAGACAGGACAAAATCGGCTGAGTTATTACGCAAATTTAGCATCTGAATAGAAAATCGAATATTTCAAGTGCCTGGTAATGACATTTCAGCTCCTCGAGCATCTCGACGAAATCGAAGAAGCCGGGTGTTGTCAGTCGTCGGCATTTTTGAGGTAAGCATTGCCAAGACTGGGCTGTGGTAATTGAAGCTGCCATGTGATTTATTAACTCAATAATGGCACAGATAGCTCAGCATCTCATACCCTCACCCTCGTCCTGTTGTTAATGCCAAGAAAAATTGATGCAAATTTTCACCGAATTCTCGCTCACACCCCAAAACAAAATTCCTCTTAAATTCCGCGCATAATTCGATTTGCATTCAAAGAGGGAAATAAGCAAATTTGTATTAATCGAAATGTATTCAACTCGAAGGAGGACAGGCCGCGAGCATATGCCTGCGGGCTTGGGTTCGATCCTTTGTGGTTCGTTTTGGGTTTGGGGCCGTAATTGAAATATTCCAGTCAGGGTGGTTGGTGTACTCAGACTGCCTCCATTGCTCAGAAAAAATATAAAGAAAAAAATATGTACACTGCAGCAATATAAAATACATTTTATATTATCTTAACAATACAGATATTGGTTTGGTTACAAAAAACCATTCTGATTTTCCCTAATTATTTGATTTTACATATATACATAAATTTCATAAAATAAATTACTTATTTTTCAAAATATCCTTTAACAAAATGTTTTCCTGTGTATCAAGCCAAACTACTTCTGCCCCAGTCACTATTAGCATGGGCAATCCCCACATCTGGAGCCCTATAATTTATGGATCCATTGGCGCTTTGTTTTCTTTGTCAATGCCACTGGACAATTACGCAATAAGCTTTCGGCTTTCTTCCAGATTTGCTGTCTATTTCGGGTTAATTATTTCTTAATGCCCGTCTGGCAGAGGCAAAAACATTTCCGCTTCCGCTGTCAGCCGTCGCCATCATCAATCTATATAAATATAAGAATGGTGAAAGCAACCGAAAAGGCTCCATTTCGCCGAAATTTCTTGGGGCATTGTCCAATATCTCAAATGGAAAGGCTTTTAAGTAGCTGTTGTCATTTTCGATTTACGACGACCAACATGTTCCCACTACCGCCTCTATATTGTATTAGCTGCAATAACAACCATAACTAAGCACTTCCCAGCTCACACAGAAAACAGGGGGGAAGGGGAGGGGGTTGAGGGTATGGAGTGGCAGGAGCAACTAGGACAATTGGTTTGCATTACCAACAACCAAATCTCCGCTTGCCTGCACTTCGGCAAACAAATTACAAATAATTACATGGGAAGGGCCACGGCACAGGTGAAACTGTGTGGCATGTTGCCCCCTGACTTGCCCCACTCCCCCAAAAACACTAACTGCAGGTGTAAACTGGCCCACTTGGTTGCATGTGTCGTTGGCTGTTAACGTCTGCGGTGTGGAGCGGAGTTCCACCTCCTCCTTTCGCTCTGGACCTGCTAATGATGATGATGGCGATTGTTGTTGTGGCTAACTGGAACTGACTAACTGTCTCATTGGTTAAAAGGCCTTGGTCAGCCTCCTCCTGCTCCAAACCCACCCACCCTCTCTCATCGACAACTCCAAAACTCGAAGGGACTGGGAGCCATCTAATCAGAAATGCAATTATAAGGGCAAATGACAATGTCCTCGGAGCAGTCGTGAGAGGTAATTTGACAAAGGATTACTGAAATCCAGGAGCAAAGATCCTTAAAAAACACTACAAGATCCTTGAACCTTTATTTCTTGATCGGACAATAATACAGATAGGATATTACTGATGAATAGATGGTCGCAATTCATTTGCATAATTGATTCTTTTGAAATTAAGCAGAAAAATAATTTTCAATCTTCTGTCTTTGTGAGATTTCATTGAGTTTTTAAATATAACACTCTTGCAAGTTGAATTATTCACAAAATTTAGTTTTTAATAAAAAGATAACATTAATTATTTAGCTGTACGCCAAATTTGTAAGGCCTTTTTTAACATAAAATGGAAAATAATAAATATATTAAATATATTAATATATATATTAAAAATCAACCCAACTTATGGATAATTTAAGTTCTAACATATATTAAAAATCCAATACCGCTAGAGTAAAATTTCTCTTTGATTTTCGGTCTTTTGAAATCTTTAAGCTTTAGCAATACAAGTGCGAGTTTAATGTCCTGGTGTGTGCCACATTTGCATTGTCTTCGTTTGTTTGCGCGGTGATGGCGACAGCACTGCTGTCGTCATAGTCTCCTTGTTGGGCCATTGTCCGGATTCCGATTCCGAACCCCGACTCTGGACTCCCGGACTCATTGTTGGCCCTTTGTTTTTGCGCCTCGCGTGTCTAATAAAAGCGCATCACAATGTGGGTCATTGTACGACTACACAGGCCAGTCGACATCATATGGCTTTGCATTTGTCAGCAGCATGCCACCGCTTGCTGCAATTGCTGCAACATCAACACATAAAGCGCTGCTAATTGCAAGCACACACATGCAGCACAAACGCAAAGTCGCATGCACATAAAAAAATACATATATATCGATATTTATGTTATACTTCTTGAAAAGAAATAATTATTCGAAAATATTGTAGAAAATACTCACGTATACATATGTAAAATCACAAATTTGAATGTTTTCCCTGTTTTCTTTCTGGTTAATATGTTAATATATATATTATTTTTTTGGAGATTACCTACTATTTTTTGATTTTTTTGATAGCATTTTTATCATATAGAATTAGATCATAACCAAAACTATGGTTAAATTTGTTCAGTGTAGTCTCCCGTCAGCCCCTTTGTTTCCCACAAGTCTAAAACAGCTGGAAAAGGAGAAGAGAAGGGAAGAATTATGGAAAATTGTGTCAGTCATGGGAAATCGATATGGAATCATGAGTAATTAATACTTGTATTAATCGTGAGTTGGTCTTAAAACACCCCTGCACCACTCATTTTAGGTATAATACAAAACTTCACATACTTTCGGGCGGCAGTGGAAAATAAAAGGCCAGCCCCGAAAGTAGGCTATATAAGTTCACAGCACAAAGTATCTACAAGTGTGTATCTACATCAGCGATCACCACGGCCCTATCTCAATATCCTCAAGATCTCAAGATCCAGAGCGAAGAGTACAGTATAAAACCCTCACAAATGAAGAGATTTGCCCTGCAAATTACTCTCACAGAACTAATTTGATTATCGGAATAATATGAATTTTCTTAAATCATTACGAACTAATACATTTTTAGTTAACTAACTATACTAAGACAAAACTCGAACTTATTTTGGTGGTTCGAGTTTTGAAAGTTCGACTGTGTACCCAGTTATAGAATATGCCGACAAAACAAGTTCGACTTATTAAGACTTTGACCTAGGAAAGTTTGACTTAGGTCAATTTAGACAAATAATTTAACCTGGTCTGTCATAAAATTTAATTTAGAGAATTTAGCTGATACTTTTTCTATTTATTATTAACTTTTGACTTTTATTAACTCCGATTTGACAAAGAAATTCAACTTGTTTTAAAAAATCAAACCATTTATTTTAGCACCTTCCGCCCCAAGCAGGACCCAGATTAAGTTTGCACCATTTATCGCCTGTAAAAAAAATATGTTTGACTTTTGCACTGGATCCTTGACTGGGAAAAACTTACGAGGATTTGGACTTGGAATTGGGAACTTTGGAGGCTCATAAGGTTTTTTGTCTGGCGACCATGGCCATTCCCAAGAGTGGGCCAATCCAATTATGGAAACTATCACCAATAGTAAAGTAAATGCCTTCATTTCTGAGCTAATACGCAAGTTAGACGGCCATTTATATACCTTACAACGAATCATAACGAGGGTTATAACACGATTATAGATGCCACGGTCAAGGTTTGTCACACTTTACCTGTAGAGACGATAATGCTTAACATTATTTAATTTTAACCTGATTGCAAATCATAAATTCTATTTATTCTTCTGAATAGTACGATTTATAACGTTCAAATGTTTTCAAAAATATTCAAATTCAAAATGATTTAAAAAGAACCGATTATTTTCTGTTTAAGTTAACTTAAGACTTATTTATTTATAATGTCAATTTTCCACTAGAAAAAGCATGACCAATAGTATTGCCGTATTTTTATTACGATGCCTGTATCCGACTTCAACGATTTATATAACATTGGCGTCTTGATTTATCGTTGGTGTTGGGATAGATATTGAATATGTCAAGGTCTCTCTCACGTAATCAAAAAAGTTAGTACAGCTTTTCTCCATCCCGCGCTCCGTGCCAGTTTTAACCCAGAGCTAGGAGCCCCAGAAAATCCCCATTCGATGACCACAATAAGTCTTCTTTGCTCGGGAACTGACATTAACATGCAGGGGTAATCACCGCGCCCCAGGCCATGGAAATCATGGACTTTTATATGCAATTCGATGGTCCGGTAACCGCAGCTGTAAGAGTGAAAGGCCGGCAAAGAACTTGCAGCTGGTTTATGCTCTGCTCTGGTCTTTGAATTGCTAACCTGATTCAATGAGCCTGAAAATCTATCACTCCCCGACCTCCCTACTTTTTTTTTAGCTGCATGTGGGCCTTTCTTTTTGCCACATTTTTGCCCACCAAAAGGCAGAAACTTGATTGACCAACAGCCAACCTTTTTCTTGTATGGGAATACTTTCTAAAGGCTCTGCCATTGCCAGTAATTGTTTTATTACAAATTGGAAATTTGTCTCAAAAACGCCAAAGGAAAACTTGTTTGCATACGCCAAAGCTCGACAAACGCATTTATCGCATCACCTTAATTTGCAGGAAAATGGGACACGACTCTAATTTGTTTTAAAACTGGAGATCGTTTTAGGTTTTTCTTGAAAAATCAGACACTTTCGCAGTGAAGTGTGCGGGAAAGTCTGTTAGGTAAAAGAAAGTATTTGCCCTTAAGATACTTTTTTTTGTATAATTGTCTAAAAAGATTGTAAAATTAGCCAAAAAATTAAAATACCTATTGTGTAAAATGTTTGTATAATGTAAGCATTGTATTTTTAAGTTGACTCGCTCTAAAAAATTTGATCCATTTTAAAATAAAATGATATAAGTGGATACAAATTGACTGTTTATTCTGTTTGCAATTGCGGGGGAACATATTTTAGATATTAAGAGAGTTTAAAAAGAGTTTAATACCTGGAGAATGTTTTATAAAATTTGATTTTTTAATTACAAATGTTTTTCTCTTCCATTTTTAACTAACCTTTTAAATAATAATAATATTGTTAAATACTACTATATTTGAGACCCATTACTTATGGTTAATTATTGTAAACATAAAATAAGTTCGATTTGTGAACAAAATACTAGAAAAGTTAGTTATGGCCTTTTTTTACAAGTATTTTTTAAAGGGCACGATCAACTTCTTATGTGTTTCAAATCGATTTTTTTTTTCTTGATCTCCTCATTGGTTTACTATAGTATTAGTAAAACGAATCGAAGATTAGGTGTGGCAAATCTAATATACTTATTAACATGCGATTATATAATAAGACACATCTATAAAAAGCACGTAAGCCCAGATTTGGACACAATCATGAAGCCACAAGTAGTGCTGCTAGTGGTAGTCCTTTGCCTGGTGGGAATGGCTTCGTCGGCTCGACATCCAAAGAAAAACATTGAGATTTGGATAAGACCGAAACCTTATCCAGACAGACCGCCACCACCATAGATCGATGAGGAACGTCACCAAACCCTGGTCACCGTAGGCTTTTCCCAGTCTACCTCGAATATAACTTCCTAATAACAGTTATGCCTAGGTTATAGATGGTGTCCTCTTCATCAGGGTCCTATATGGTGTATATACAATAAACAACCGTGTCATTATTGAAAAACGAATTTTGTTTTATTTATGTAATCATTGATGGCAAATGCACCAAAAGAGATTTTTAATCGTTATTAGACTAGTATATAATTTATTTTTTTTTAAGATTTAATCAGATACAATTGTTATCCAAGCTACAAAACTAATTTTTTCTATTATCCTGGGGCCACCAGAGCCGGTTACCTTTGACCGTTTAAAAGTATTTTCGTGATGAACGATGCAAATTAAATTTTGTTGGTTATGCATGACATTTCGACAAGTTTAGGTGGCGCCATCTGCTGAACTGGAGTGCCAACGCCGTTTTCAACGCAAAGATTGAGTTGTATAAGATTATTTATCCATTAAAAGCTTGCTAAGAACGAAGATATTTATCGAGCTTCGGGCTTAAGACAATGAGTTTAGGGGTATTTATTACATGTATAAAGAAAACCAGAAAACACATCTTCAACCGCAGGACCTGTTCTAAGTATGCATAGTATTTTGGATTGTCTGAGATATACACTTTTTACATCTCTTTCCTTCCCAAATTTAGCATGCTGCAGAACCGCAAAACTTTTCGGAAAAGTTGTCGGTGCAGTCGAAGAATAAGTTGCCGCCACGCCCAGTTATACTCTCATTATCTTGGCATGTAATTCCCAGCCCTTCCCCTTACCCTTCCCCTTACCCTTACCCTTCCCCTTACCCTTCCCCTTCGGCCATGCGAGTATCCCCACATGTGTGTCAGTTTTGTCGCTCGCGGACAATGGCAGAAGTTTCTGTTTCGGCTCGATAAAGTATCTGTTAGATACAATTTACAATATTTTCCGCTCCGCTTCGCCCTGCTGGCTTCGTCCAAGTGAAAGTTTTGGCAGCAAAGTATGGCTTTAATGATAATGACTTTAGCGTCGGCAAAAAGTAGCGCAAAGTTTAGAATACGCCAACGCTTTTGGGGAATTTTGCCTGAGAACTCCAAGTGGTTTGAAGAACTTTTTCCCCGCACCCACATACGCGAAATGGAACCAGTTTGGTGGGGTTTTTTGCCAGGGTGCGTGGTGCCAACTTTTCTTACGTGCTGGCCCCATGAAACTGATAAGGAAAGACAGGAGCAGGAGCAGGAGCCGCTAAGTGGGACAAGGCCAGGCTGTCTATTACGGAATTTGAATGGGATGTAATTCGATAACCTGGAAATAGTCCAACTCTAGGGCCCAAAGATCGTGTCCCGGCATTGTTAGCGATTTCATTTTATCACAATTGCTGCAACAACTGCGGACAGTGTCAGCGATTTATTGCATCAGCTCCAACTAACAACACTTGGTTACGTTGTAATCGGCCGGAGTTGCAGATACAGATACCCGGCGAACAACAACAAACAAGCATCCTCAGCAGCCCGTAGCTACCAAAAACCCAATCGCCCGTTCCCGTTCCCTGTAACTCATCAACGCGGCTAATCTGCACTGGAAAAAACTTTTTCGAACTGCTCAGCCATTAGGTGGATTTTCAAACACAGTTGTCTGGAATCTTTTTGTTTAGCTTTAAAAGTCCCATCAACCAATGTAGCTTCTTGAATGTTGTATTATTTCTTTTAACGTCTATCAATACAAATTTTACTTTAATAATACGAGGAACAAAAGATTCTCTAAAATTGTATAGTTTTGGGACAGCAAAAATGTATTTTGTTGAAATTTAAAAGTATTTTAATATAGAATGTTAAATCGTGTTTTCGAATACATACAGATGATTGTTATCAGATTTATTTCAAAATGAATAATAATTAATTTTTTTATGGAAAAAGTAGTTTTAATGATTCTTAAATAAATTAAATTTAGAGCTAAAAACCAAGGGGTTCCCTGTTGTAAATAGTGCAATTATCAATTTAAATGAATCCGATATTGCTTGGATTTTTCCTCCCTGTAACTGCAGTTGCTGTTGGGCTGTTGGGCTGTTGTCAACTTCTTGTTGTCGTCGTCGTCATCTCCTCCTCATCAACATCAGTGGACCGCGGCAAAAGTCTTCTCCCAACGTCGGCCCAAGTTTCGACTGCAGTCCCAGGCTGTTAAGAGTTCAACTCGTGATGTTTAAGTGGTTTAAGCCAAGGTAACGATTTCCTCATTGGTCTACAATTCTCCAGTTCAGCTCGCTTTTGCTGTTGTTGCCGGCGACATTCTGTCATGCCACGATCACGAACCATTCGTAACACATTTGTTGCAATTTTCGTCGCTATTTGTTAAGGTTCAGATGGGGTTGCAACTAAAGGGACACTCGTCTGGGGGACTTTGATGTTGTAAAATATGTACTAAACGACAGGATAAAACGATTGATTTCGAGTTGTCGCGAAGTGTCTTAAAAGTTGCAACAGCAGTTAACAGGAGTTATTGTAGAGGAACTTATTTTTTAAGAATAATAAGCAAGTTCAAGGAAATCACTTTCTAAATTCAAATGGGCAGGTAATTTCCTTTTTATTCATTTATAACAACATTTTTGAGTTTGGGATTGGGATAATATTTTTTGGGAAGTAATAATATACCTGTGTAAATACCTCTGCTAATTAAAGTCTTGTCACAATATGATTTTTTTAACTATTGTTAACTATGTTTAGCTATTGTTCACTAATGAAATCGAGCTCGTTTCCATTGTTCCGATTTGAATTTCCTTGTTAATGGTTTAATACTTGCCGCATTTTCACTGATTAAAGTTTAGTCAGTTATGTTTTTTGTAACTATTACTAATGTTTCCAACTAGTAGATGTTCGCCTGTTAATCACTGGATATTTGAGATAACTAAATGTTGATAATTGGATTTTTTTACTCCTTATTAGAAAACTGGTATTAGGTTAAGCAATCTAATGCCATTATTATATGTTAAAGTTAATTGATAAAACCTTGACTATATTAAACATGCCACACATAATTTCAGCAGGCATTTAATCCTGGTGAACAAATGTAAAATCAGCAATAAAAGGTGTTAATGGCCGCCTGCTAAAGCGGTTGTCCAAATTGCACTCGCATTAAATTCACTTCCGTTAGAGGAGCAGTGACTTCCGGTTGCGGGGGGAGTCCATTCCAAGGGGGGAACGGCGGGGAAAACAGGTGTAAACTGTGACGCCGCCGATGGGCGACACATTTGGCAGCTATTCAAGTGTGATAACAACAATGTGCCAAGCCCGATAGAAAGGGACACGGCGAAGGAAAACAAAGGGTGCGAGCGGGATGGGGCTAGGGATGAGGATGAGTATGAGTAAATCAAATTGAATAATTGTTACATGCCGGTGCGAGAGAGATGGACAGATGGGGAGAAAGGGACAGCTGGCAGGGACATATGATCGAGGCAACAGAGACAGCAAAAACAAACGCAGCCTAACAAGCCTATGCAACAATAACAATAACACTGAAAGGACATCGACATCCTCCATTCCTTTCTGCCCATTCAATCACCCTTGGCACTGAACAAAATTAGTGTAATAAATGGTCTTTGAAATATTATTATACCTAAGGTATTTTATTTAAACACAGGTTTGGTACACATTTTAATAAGGAAAGTGTTAAATGAAGATTAATAATTCAAGCAACAAACTTAGAAGTCTTCCAGACGGTGATTGCAGATCTCAAATGTTGTAATCATTTTTCTCAGTGATTCATTCCATTCCGCTGCGATGAGAAGCGCTGCGATGCGACTTCAATTCAATCAATTGAACGTGCCACGAATGGTTAGCAATAACAAAATACACTCTAGTGAGTCGAGGGGGTGGTGAAGGACAGGAAGGGGGCGCGAACAAGGACCAAGGACCAGGATAACAACGAGTAGGGAGAGCAGACCAACTGGCGTGTGAAATTGACAATGCAGCTGCAAAAGAGAGGACACAAAAGGCGTGGAGGCAGTTGGGTCCACTGCGCACTGGAAGAATGTATTATACCCTGTCAAATAAATGGATTAATAATTGAAAATAAAATAATCAACTAATTTCAAGTAATTATAATTTCATAGTCAACACATTATATTACTTTTTATTCGATTTACAAGGATTGTATAAAGTTAAACTTCCATAACTCAAACTTTTCTTAATCAATGCACCTTTGAGTCAAACTAGTTTTATTGGCTAAAAAGATTACCAATTAGTGAAAATAAATTTAATAGCTTTTCTTTAATTACATTTTTTTTTTTATGACAAAAGAAGGTTTGATTTATGAAAGTGAAATATATTATAGGACAGCTACAATGAATCAATAAAAATTGTTTAACAAACTATTTTTGCAGTGTTGTGGAAATATTTTTGCACGCGACAAACGGCCAACGTGCGGGATTAAGAGCCAGGCCCACCTGACATCCACCGGGGACGAGCGTGGTCCGGTCTTACCTCATGAAAATGTCCTGTCCGCCGTCCCCTGTCGACGTGTCCTATTGATTGACTAGGACACACAAACCCGAACACATCAGCCGGGTACATTTTTGCATAAAACTGAGCTGGGAAAATCAAGCAAATAAAACTTATTTAGGTTGCTGGGCCGGACAGACCAGTGATTTTCAATATTTGCAGCGGGCTTACCTCGCACAGGCCCATCTGCCATAACAGGTGTTGATATGTTTATATACTGTCTAATGGGCGGGATGGGCGATTCGGGGGGAATGGGCCATGAATGGTTTCGATGTGCGTGCAATTTGCACAAATTGCAGACAGACCGCATCGAGGATGCGAGACAAGTTTGTGGTGGGATTTGCCTGGTTATCAATTAAACAATTAGCGGACCATTATTTGAATAGGCTCAGAGAGGAGTGCTACTACTAGTGCTCTGCCCCCAGAATCACGGCTCCCACTCGTTGGCTTGTCAAATAAACACTTCGCACCCATCGCGATTGCATTTCCCTGACTGTCATTTACCGTTGGCTCTCGGGTGGAAAACCTCTGGATCCCCTGATTGCCACGCCCACATGCTGCAATCAAGCGAAGTATCTGAAAGATGCACCTTTTTTAGTAGTGATGGGAAGCATGCAGATGGTCGTACCTAGAATATAATAGTATTATTCAGATTATTTTAA